TCCCCGGGGCTTCATCTGCTGCTCTGTAAGAGAAGGTTGCTGTGAAAAGAACATGGTGGCATAAGACAGACACCTAGAATAACGGCTGGGTAGAGGTGACAGTGGCCAGTATTGTTTTTTTCGGGCTCGTTAACTAGATTCTGTTTGAGATTATCTTAAAAGCAGCAACTTTAGATTCCTGGAGCTAAAAAAGAATCCCACGCATGGCCTTTTTGCTTTTTAAATAACTCTATTAAATGTATTCTTTGTGATTCTCATGGTTACTGTGTCTTAGACTTGACAACTAAACTTTCTTTCTTTCTTCCAAAAAAGGTGTTTCACAGCTTTCACCACAGCTGCGTCAGCTTACAGTTACTATCATTACGGTCGAAAAACTGTTCAGGTGATAAAAGGCAGATGAAAGCCATCCATCATCATTAGTGAGGAAGCGGTATACGTCGTCGGTGGCAGGGCGAGGGGAAAGCTACAGGAGCTTCCGTAGTTCGGGGTTCAGCTTGAAAAAGGACTTGTCAGAACAAACCATGTCATCAAAATTTAAGTAATGTGCTTTGAAAATAAGCTTGATCGTGGGCATATGCAGAATTTCCTATGTATTTTTAAATACAAATAAAACTAATTTAGAATTTTTTATCTTAGGTTTCTTGATTAATTTATAAGGTACCAATTATTCCAATTATCGTCAGTCACTTTTTAACGCATTTTTAAGAAACCTAGTCTAGAGCATGGAAACTGAAGAGTTGCCACCTCTGTTTAACAGAATTTAGATGGCTTACAAAGCACTAGGGAATTTACTGGGTTTAAGTATCTATCCGACACAACTTGGCTACACAGTCTTATGTTTGATTTTTAGAACTGTGTACACATAATAGTTCGTGTGGTTAATATTTGATCATTTAGGATAATGACAATAAAGGTAGCTTAGTTGTGGATGAAGTAAACTTGTAAAGATATTTAAAATGCAGTAAGTTTTGAAAATAACAAATAAGGTCACAACAGAAGGTACTGAAGTTCAAGTTCAGTAGTCTTCCAACCTCTCAGGTGCCTAATAGTCTATGTATCAGGATAGCAAGTGACAAAGGTGGTTGAAATATGAAAGCATGTCCATTAGCCTACACCATCCAGGAGGCAGTGAGTTATAACATGCCTTCCGCTGTTTCTAACGTAGCAATGTTTGTATGATGTTGGAACCTGTACTCACATGTTATGTAAATAATATGAAACTGTATATTTTTCAAAGGTTTTTTAAATTTTGGGGTATCTTTTGTTAAGATATTAAAGGAATAAAAGAGCTGGGAAAGTGCCTTCAGTGGTGGTGTTCTGTTTTACACGCTATGATCCTCACTGTTGAAGTTTTCTGATTCCTGAAGTCCATTCAGATGCATCACTTGCACTTACGTTGTAACAGTAATTTGTTTGTGAGCACCTGACTTAAAGCCCTTTCGCTCACTACACTGTCACGTTTGGAAGAGTGGGAGGCGCGGAGAGAGGGAAGAGGGAACACGGTGGCTGTTGCTGGTTGCTTCCTCTCACTGGCGGAGGCCTGTTGCTGCCCACCGTCCCAAGTGTCCTGTGGAATTGTGCGGTGAGCTTATCCCAACAGAGCTTGTCGAGCTGTGTTAAATTAAGATGGGAAGTTATAAGCAAAATTCATGCCTGTTGGCGGTGGCCTCCTGGGATCAGCGTGCCCCTCTGGTGCCTTCGGTCCTGGCTGCCTTGTTCCCAGGTTAGCAGCCGAGTTGCCGTTGGCTTGAAATGCACTGAAGCCTGCAGCAGGGGACCGTGTCACTGAATCCGGTGGAGGGTGGTGGGAGGGAAGGGGAGGATGGCCTGTGGCTGGCCGTTCTCCCCTTCTGGAGCCCCCTGTGTAGTCTCCTAGCTTGGGAGGCGGTGAGGCTAGAGGTGGAATTCCCACCCAAGAGGCACAGTGGACACATCTTGGCACTAGCAAAGTGGGAGCACAAAGTGAGAGAACTCGACATAAAGTAATTATGGGAGAAATGAGGGTTTTGCACTTCGTTTATTTCCTGGTTCAGTGTTGATGCTATTTGGAATTATGTCTTGGGCCCATAGTCTCTTTAGTATGACGGTCTTAATCTGGCTCTGGTTAATAAACCTCAACGCTAAGAAAAATGGTGCCAGTTTCTTGAGGGTTTTGGATATTGGACTGTTACACAACATGAATTCTGCTAGTTTACAAAACACTGGAATTGTATTAGGCATGTTTGTATATTCACACAGAGCCAAGCACGACAAATTCATTTTGGTGCCTCCATATAACGGATTCAATCCTGATAGTAAGCTAAAAAGGGCATTGAGATGATTAGGTGTCTGTAGTCCAAACTAGTCACATTTTTGGCTTTTGCTTTCCAATTTTTAATCAGGAGCTGGTAGATATCTTAAAAGATTGCTTAGTCCAGTTCTCTTGGTTACATATCTGATGAAACTTGGGATCCACCTTAGAATTTTGGGAAGCCTTTTCAAAACTTCAAACACCTATTGAGGTCAAACTTGGATATACTGAGTTTCTGCAGCATGGTTTTGGAAATGATACGTGGGAATCAAACTTGACTTTTGGGTTTTGTTTTTGTTCTTTTTAAAGATCTTATTTATTTATTTGAGAGAGGGAGAGGGAACACAAGCAGGGGCGAGTGGCAGAAGCAGACTCCTCACTGAGCAGGGGGCCCGACCCGGGGCTCCATACCAGGACCCTGGGATCATGACCTGAGCTGAAGGCAGATGCTTAACCGACTGAGCCACCCAGGTGCCCAAACTTGATTTTTTTTTTTTTGAAGGTTTTATTTATTAAAGAGAACATGAACCTGGGGGCGGGGAGGGGCAGAGGGAGAGGGAGAAGCAGTCTCCCCACTGAGCAGGGAACCTGACCTGGGGCTGGATGCCAGGACCCTGATACAAGGCCTGAGCCCAAGGCAGACACTTAACTGACTGAGCCACCCAGGCGCTCCTTGATTTTTTTTTTTTTTTTTTACAGAAATAAATGCTGTTTGGGGTTGAATTGGGTCTCCCGAAAAGATAATGTTCAAGTTCTGAGCCGTGGTACCTGTGAATGTGACCTACTTAGAAATGGGATCGTTGCAGATGTAATCATATTAGGATGAAGTCCTACTGGATTTACATGGGCCTTAATCTAATGCCTAGTGTCCTTAAGAGGGAAGTTTGACTTCTGGGTATATACTAGAAGGAAATGAAATCATCTTGAAGAAGAGATCTGCCCCCTAGGTTCACTGCAGCATTATTTACAATAGCCAAGACATGGAAACAACCCAGGTGTCAATGGATGAGTTGATAAAACGTATAAATATATAGACAGTAATATTCAACCATAAAAATGGAAATCCTGCCATTTGCAACAATATGGATAGAACTTGAGGGCATTATACCAAGTGAGATAAGGCAGAGAAGGACAAATTCTGTATGATTCCACTTACATGTAGAATCTAAAAACAAAAAACACCCAACTCCTAGAAATACCAGTAAATTGGTGGTTCATAAGGGTGGGGGACAGTGGATGAATGTGGTCAAAGGGTACAAACTTCCAGTTATGAGTAAGTTCTAGAGATCTAATGATCCCCAGAAGACAGCACGATGATTATAGTTAATGTATACTTGAAAGTTGCTTAGAAAGTAGGTCTTAGAAGTTCTTAACCACACACCATGTGAGGTGAAGGTAACTACCTTCATTTCCTGATATATATGTGTATCAGATCATTAGGTTGTATATCGTAAACTTACACAAAGTTATATGTCAATTATATCTCCGTAAAGATGGGGGAGAAACATTTTTTTTAAAGAGGGAAATTTGGACACAGAGAATGCCATAAGACAACGGAGGCATCGATTGGATTTATCTGCAAGCCAAGGAGCACCCAGGACTGCCAGCGACCAGAACAGGCATGGAACAATTCTCAGAGTCTCCAGAAGAGACCACTCCACTGATACCTTGGTTGTGGTTTTCTGGCCTGAACTGTAAGAATAAATTTCTGTTGTTTTAAGCCATCCAGTTTGTGGTAATTGTTAACAGTAGTCACAGAAAAGTGAAATAAATACTAATGTAGAAAATTAAAATCTAGAAATATGACCCACATTGTAATTTTATAAAATCATTTTTTTAAAGTTGGTATACAAGTGAAAAGGGGTGTCAGAAGGTGTTGCCCACACTCAGATACAAGTCATGAAGGCATTGTTTGATGCAACGGGGAGCAAAATGCTTTGGCCTCTAGCTAGAGCCTTGAGGTTCTCTTTTGTTCATCTCTTCTCTCTTAAAAGACCAAGTCCTGAAAGTGACCTTATTATGCTTTCTTAAGAAAAGTTCATAGTTTCTTTGACCACTTAGACTATGGAGAAGTGCAGTAAATAATGACTTTAAAAAGGACAGCTTACCCTTGTGTTTCACAGGTGTTCCCAGAAGATTGCAATTTTAACTACAAAGCTTGAAGCACATTTGTTTTTGCCAATAAACGCAATAAACCCAGACGGCCTCAGGAAATATAACCGGTAGTCCTCCCCTACCCACGGTTCTCAGATTAAGAACCCACTGGAGTTGCTTCCTTGAATACCAGGTGCCTTAGCCAGAGCTTGAGCACAAGGGAACTTCCCTGAAATGACTTGAGGATGTCACTTCCAATATGGCAAAAGAGACTGAACTGTGTGAACTGTTTTCTCTCTTCCTACTTTCACACCCAATCTATTCGACTGGACGCCAAGGGGCATTGACTGCTGAAAAACCCAAATAACACACAAGGATGCCGTGCGGCGAGGGGGGTGGTCTGGTGTGAACCCTAACGTTTCTGGGAACAGAGAAGTAGAAGGCGGGGAAGGCAGTGGTTCCTCAGATTGAGAAACTGCATGGCAGAGTGCTGGCTTCACAGGAAATTAGAGGCATTCTGAGCTAACGGGGTCACCTTTGACCCTCTGTATCTTCTTTTCAGCACACAGGCGGCCGGTTCCTCAGCTCGAGTTCGAGTGGAGGAGGGGGCATTGAGCTAACTGAGCGTCTGGAGCTTCAGCGGGTAGTCGAAGGCTGGGTTTTTGTAGGCCACCAGGTGCGTGTCGTGGCGCTGGGGGCGTGGCGGACGGCCCCGCCTGCACAGACACGCGGCGAGCAGCAGGGTGGTGACGAGCAGCAGGCCGCAGGCGGCGCACAGCCCCGCGAAGATGAGCACGAAGCTGGGCTTGGTGGTGAAGGCGGCGCACGCCCGCGTCCAGCCCGAGGCCGGCGGCTGGCTCAGGCCCGCCCGGTTGGCGGCCAGGACGCACACGCTGTACGTGGTGCCCGGCGAGAGCCCGTACAGGGGGTGCTGCCGGGCGGTGGCGTAGATGTCCGCCACCACCGTCACCGACTGGTTCCCCGGCCGGCCCTCGGGAGAGTAGCGCATCTGGTAGCCGCGCACCACCGAGTTGGGGGCGCACCAGCGGACCAGGGCCGACGTGTCGGTGGTCTCGGTCACCGCCTGCAGCCTGGGGGGGTCCGGGAGGGTGTCTTCCCCGCTGAGGCCGGGGCACCGGCACCGCGAGCGCCTCTGCAGCTCCGCGCACGGGGTCTGGAGGTGCTTGCAGGGGTGGTAATCACAGGGGACATCCTGGGGAGGCGCGCCCACCTCCTCCTTCTGACCCTCCTCCTCCTCCTCACTGGAGTCGTCCAACAGCAAGATTGGAATCGCGCCCTCGGAAGGACTCGGGAGGGGCGCCTGCGGGGTGGCCTGTGTTGTGCAGTCAGGCTGGGGCGTCCGCACTGGGCTCCAGGGGGTAGGGAAGAGCCCAGGGTGTTTGCTGGCCAAGGCGGTGGAGGCAGCTGGGACGTGAGGCGTATGGCCCAGCATGGCAGCGTGTTCTTCTTGGGGCTCTGTCCCAGCTGTGCTTGCTGCCCTGCGCAGAGCGCCGGAGTTGCTGGAATCCGCTGTGGAGATGGCCGGGGAGGGGGCGGTCCCCACCTTGATGGCACTGTGTGACCATGCAGTTTGTGTGGCGGAATCCGCGGGGAGGGAGGGGGGCTTGGTGACGCTCTGCCCAGCTTCCACGGGTCGAGTGGAGGGGGCTGTGCTCGGTGGGGTGGTGAGACCCTGTGTAGACGGTGCGTGGGCGAAGGGAACAGAGTGGGGCGAGCTGGAATCGAGGAGGGTGGTGCTTTGGTCCAGATGGCACACAGTGGGCAGCTGGGTCAGCGAAAGAGGGGCCGAGAAGGTGTCTCGGGACCCTGAAGCTGGTACACACACAGTGTCCACTGCCCTAAAGGGGAGGCCAACCAGTTAGAAGGTGTTTGAGTCCTCTGCAGACAATCCCTCTCATCAAACCCCGTCAACATGTCTGCTAGGTACCACCTGCTGCACACTCTCCGACCTTCACTTCCCTGACCCTCAAGGGCAACCTATGGAGGAGGTTTCCCTTATCATTCCCACTGGGCAGAAAAAGAAACAGAAGCTCAGCAAGAGGAACTAACTGCCCGAGATAGCAAGTGGCAGAACCTAAACCGAGGGCAGGCACTCTGAATGGTGGTTTCGATTCTCCAAGTGTAGTCTGCCATTTTGTTGTCACCTATCTGCTTCCTGGCTGAGTACTAGTAATAATACTCACACTAGCTAACATTTTCTGAGTCCTTGCCATATGCTAGTGACTACTGTTAGCACTTTACTGTACCAACTAATTTAATCTGTATAACCTTATGAGGTAGCCACTATTATCCCCATTTTACAGATGAGGAAGTAGAGGCACAGAGAGGTTCAGTGACGCAGCCAAAATCAAAAGTAGTAAGTGGTGCGAAGAGGCTGCACTCTCAACCTCTTCACTAATACTGTGGTAAGACCCTTCACTGCAAAGGGCCTGGGTCCTTATCTTTGGAGGTAACATGAAGGGGATGGGGGCAGACTGATTCCCACTTCACAGCTGGGTTTGGGTGGGACATGAAAAAAAATCGCACAGGATGGGGGGAGGTGTCTCCTAAAGTGAGCTAGAGGGGCTAGTGGAGCTGGCTTGAGGGTACTCATGACCAGAGGTGTCCCCAGCCAGCCCCCATTCTCTCCTGGTGGCCAGCCTGGGCATGGCTCCCCACTGCAAAAACAGCTCTTCTAGCCAATAGCCAATGGGAAGTCTTTGAAGGACTTCTTTTTCCCCTGTCCCACAGGAGCTCTGTAAGTAATCGGCCTTGGACTGAATGATGCAGGGGACCAGGCTGCATCTTGGGGACTCACTAGTGGGGCCCAGTGTTTAAGAGCCACCTCCACCACTTTGGAAGTGGGATCCTGCCTCCTCCACCCAACAGCTGCATGAACCTAAGCAAGCACCTCCTCTCTTTGGGCCCCCACCCACTTGTCCGTAAAATGGAACAAAGTTAAGGCTGTCTTGGCGGAGATAATCTAGCTGTTCACTTAGCCCATTTTTCCCCCTACTGGGCACAAAACTAGACTACATTTCCCAGCCTCCCTTGTAGTAGGTGTGGCCTGCGACTGACGTTTGGCCAATGAGATGCGAGGGGAAGTGAGGAGCCCCACCTCTTGGCTTGGCCTATTAATATCGTCACGTCTGTTCCTCCATCCTCTCTTGTCACTCTGGCTGGCTGGAATGAAGAGTCTTGATCACTGGGGGACCCTGAGTGTGACTACATGGGGGATGGCCACCCTGCCCAACACTGCCAACCTGCCCAAGAAGAGCAAGCCATAAGCTGTGAGAATTTCCGCTCACCTCTTAGTCATGGGCTTTGTAAATGTGTTACCTGCTTAGGACAGTCCTCTTTGCATCCCTGAGGAGCCAGGACAATTCACAGCTGCAGATGAGAGGGTTGCCAAAGAGGTTGATGGACAGGACCTGGGAGGAATGCAGGCTCCAAGGAGCAAAGGAACTCAAGTTGCAGCTGAAACACAAAAAAATCAAGTCAGGCTTTAAAAACCAAGTCTAAACTATTCCCAGAGAGCCATGGTGGTGTCACTTGCAAAACCATTCTGTTAGGGGTTAGATGACACTACTTTGGACAAAACTCTTTAATGACCTCAGACTTCATTTTTTTTTTTTTTTGTCATCTGTAAAGTGGAGATACCAACCCAACTCAGTCACTATCACCCCACATATCAAATGGAGACAGTACTCCCCTGCCCATTTGTTATATCAAAAAGAGTCTGTGATAATGAAACTGTTTAAAAGTGTAAGTCTCTACACAAAAGTAAGATATTGTTATTATAGGCCAGTCACAAGAAATGGCAGAAGCTCTTTACTAATGAGAACATTCTTGAGTATGTACTATCGCAGTTGAACTGTCGTTGATGGCACTCAACACCAGTCCTTTGGAAGATGCCTCGCTGGAGCGTATCAGTTAAGCTCTTGCCAGGTAGAAATTTCCCCAAAACTTAGTAGCTTAAAACAACAAATATTTGTTTTTTCTCATGAGACTGTGGTTCTTGTGGTCTGGGCCAGCTCAGCTGGGGCTGGAAGATCTAGGATGACCTCACATATATGGAGACTCTAGACCCCAGCTAGGTTTGCTGGGGCCTCCCTCCATATACTCCTCATCGTTCAGGAGGCTAGCCCAGGCTAGTACACATGGTGGTGGAGTTGGGGGGGGCTCCCCACTAGCCAGGAAGGGAAAGCTCCAATCCTCAACTGCTTTCAAGTTTCTACTTACGTCCCTTTTGCTAATGTCCCAAGGCCAAGTCCAGCCTCAAGAGTTGGAGAATAGACTCTTGGTGGGAGGAGCTGCAAAGTCACATTGCAAAGGGGCGTGTCTACGAGGATGGGAGGAATCACGTGGGGCCATTTTGCAAAGGGTCTAGCACACCCAGCAATGGCAGGTCCCTTCCCAATACTCGGCTCTTTCTTCCCTAGAGTCTTACAGAGCATTTGGCCTCAACTTTCTCAACTCCTTGAGTCCCCTGGCCTTCTTACACATACTCAGTTATACTTCATCTTGGGCAACAGTTGCTGCACTTTACCTTCAGGTTTCTTCTGACCAAAGGCTGGCTTTCCTCCACCGGCCTGGGAACCATCTGCCTTTCCCAGCTGCTCTGTGGGAGATGCTCACGTCCTAGGTGAAGACGGACCCACTCCCCAGACCTGCTCTAACACTCTGGGGTGGTGGGGACCGGACAGTTGTCCCCTCTGGGACACCAGATATATGTGTGTGCTATTTATCTGGAAGCTTAATGCACAATATGAGTATATACATATATGCATGCTTGTTTTCAGCAGATTTCACAGAGCTAGAGTAGGAATCTTAGAAGGAGAATTTAGCACTTCAGCATGCCAAGGAAGTATTTTTCTTTTTGCCTGAAGGGGGGCGGGGAGGAAAAAGGACTGTCGTCTTTTTGAGCAGTTAACATTACTCGGGGCTTTACATTCATTAGCTCACTGACATCATTATAACAATTCAGTGACAGAAGAATACTTTGCTCATTTTACAGATAAGGAAAATGAGTCCTTTCTTTATCCAGTGGCCCTTTCTGTCACCGATGTAACTTGCGTGTGATAAAATCAAGTCGAATCACCACCTACACGGGAGGTACGTACGGGAGGGCCTGGCTCACATCCTGGTGTGTGCTGCGTGTCTCTGCATCTGAACTTACAGAGCCCTAGTGTGAAAGAAGGTTCACTTGCTCTCCTAAATAACCTCTTTTCACTTTTTTTTTTATTTTTGAAGATTTTTATTTATTTATTTGACAGAGAGCTAGAGGGAGAGCACAAGTAGAGGGGCAGGCAGAGGGAGAGGAAGAAGCAGGCTCCCCGCTGAGCAGGGAGCCCGACCCCAGGACCCCGGGATCATGACCTGAGCTGAAGGCCGACGCTGAACCGACTGAGCCACCCGGGTGCCCCCTCTTTTCACTTCTTTGCTGAACTACTGCCCCTCCCTCCTGCATGTCAGAGGGGGCTGCGGAGGGCTTTCGGGCCCACTGGTTGGCAGAGCAGCAAGGAAGTTGGCCACCCCCTCACTGGAGCGTGCTGGCCATGCCAGGGCAGCCAAACGTGACTCGGGATTTAGCACGGCCCCCCAGGGGGAGGCTGTGGGTGAGCCGAGGAGAGCCGTGAGTAGGCCAGGCTGCGAAGGGGGAGAGAGGGTCCAGCAGGGCAGATGGAGACGCTTGAGAGCACCAAGAAAGCAAGTGGCTGGTCCCCTTCCCCCCCTCCGCCAGCTGGGACACAGGTGGTACAGCTGGGGGAGAAGGGGGAACTAGGATTGAGCCAGAAGGAATTTAACCTTCTCCTTCAGGCCACGGGAAGCACTGCAAGGTTTTCATTTGGCAGGAGACTCAGTCAGATTATGATTGAGACAGACCTCTTGGCTGAATGTGGTGACTGGATCGCAAGTGTTCTTAACCTGGGCTCCACAGAGACGGGGTGTGTGACTGGGAATGGAGTCAGGATTTGAGCCGGGGGCAGGGGGACTCCACATCTGCTACCTTACATACAAGTCTGAAGCTCAGAAGAGGAGTCTGAGCCAGAGAGGATATCCCTCTCGGCAACATCACCACCACCACCATCACCATCACGATTACCATCACTGTCACCAATTCACCATCATTACCAACACGATGTCACCTTCTTCACAGCCACCATATCATCTTCACGAATGGTACAGCACACCACATGTGCCAGGCGCTGAGCTAAGTGCTCTGCGTGTTCTGTTTCCTTTTCTCCCATGACAAACCCCAAAGTGAACACTCTGGTTGTGGCTGGAGCTAGCAGAGGAAAGAGAGAAGTGGCTACTTTAAAAGTGATGATGGGGCAAAGGTGCTTCCCGGGTCCCAGATGAGGGCCCCCAGGAAAGGAGGTGGCCCGGGGTCATCTTCACAGGGATGGTGCCCTTCCTGCGGAAGTCAGGACAGGAGCTGCTCTTGATGAGGAGGCTGAATACAGTGACACTTCGGCCGACCAGGCCCAGAAGGACTGACCCTGGGCTCCAACTGCAAGTAGTACCCTTCTACCCTCTCACGTCTCCTCCCTAGACCCATTCAAACCTCGGAAGGGCTGAACTGCAGAAATCCCTGGGGTAGGGGGGGAAGTGGGTGGATCCAGAAATAGAGAAGAACCTGACTCCTCATCCCCTCTTCCCACTGCAAGTTTCTCAGCCTGGGCTTAAAGGAAACTTTACATGCATGAGAGTTTGGAGTTTTACTACTACTCTGGACAAGACTGAGTTGCATGGTTATTAGGCCGATGGACTATCTGGTACCTGACCAAGATATCACCCAAAGGATGAGGAAGAACAGAAGTCCAGCGAGGATGGGAAGGAGCGGAGGGAGAGGAATGAAGGTCTGGTTAGTGCTATAAAATGGTTGCACGTGTTCAACTTAGTGTAATGGGCAGAAATCAGTTATGTGATTCACGTGCATCCTAGAAACACTTACTTCTGGAAGAGAAGGACCTGTAGGCGAGGAGTGTCTTGGAAGATGTGTGTGTGGACAGAAGTAAGTGCTGAGGAGTCTTGACAATCCAGCTGCTGCAGGTTGGGGGTCATCTTGAAAATGTCCCCCTCCAGAATTCTCAGCCTGGGCATCTTCCTCAGGTAGAGAGATGTGAGCTTCGGCAGGTCTCTGATCCACCCTGACTGCACTGAAATACAGAGGGGAAACTGCCCACTACCCAGGAAGGCACAAGCCAGCGGGGCCAGCACAGCATTGAGGAAAGAATGAGAGGGACAAGGTGAGTCAAAAGGCCGTTGCTGAACATGGGCAGTTAGCAGCTGTGGGAGTCTCAGAAGCATAGACCGTCTCAGCTGGAAGAGCCTTCAGAGACAACCAGTCTTTTCTTCTTTCCTTCCTTCCAGCCCCAGGGCAGCCGAAGTCAGAGAGAAGGACAGGCCCGGGGCCACAGAGCTGGGGAGGGATGGAGCGAGGCCTTGAACCCAGGACACTGGCTCCAAGACCGCTGTTGCCCACCTTCTTGTTAAACTCCACAGGGAAATACCCCAGACTTCACTCTGATGGCTACCAGAAGTGGGGACATCTTTGAGAGAGGTAAGGAAGGAGCGGAAGGGCAAGGCTGGATGAGGCCCGGAAACCGAATTCCGTGGCTCTCCTAACAAATGGAGAATGTGCCACTTTCCCTGTTTTCCATTCTCGCTCTTTTTTTCTGTCTGCGGTGGAACAGGGGATTATAGGCATATATAGTGTTTTGCGTGTTTTTTTTTTTTTTTAACAAAACCAACCTTGTGAATCGGTCAAAACATGCCAAGTACATGTGTCTTGTTTGAAGATCCAACGTTCACAGGGACAATTTGAGCCAAACCAAGTAGAAAAATCAATGAATTCATCCTCAGGAGGCATCTGCTGCTTCAGGTTAACGGCGTGTTTGGTGCTAAATTCATTCATTCATCGGCCCCAAAGCGATGCCCCCACTTCGCCATTCTACAAGCATTTGCCAGCTCTGCTGGGTAGCAGGCCAACAGAGGGGCGAAGGTTGGGCTCTGCGCCCCCGAAGGCCTGGGCTTAGATTTGGAGCCACCACTTACTGAGCTGGGAGACCGCGGGCTAGTCATTCACCTGTCCGCGCCCTGGTTCCCTCCTAAGTAAAGCGGGGATCCATAATAACAGTCCCCACCTCTTGGGCCTCCAGGAGTTGACCCGGGCCCGCTGGGCTCTGAAAATGGAGGAGGGGCTATTTTTGAGCCGCACCTCGAGCCAGGCGCCCTGGTCGCCCTCCCTCTGCCCCCTCCGGAGGAAGTTCGCGGCCCCGCCCCGGGAGCGCCTGCCCAGCCCGGCCACCCCCACCCCGAACTCCCGGCGCCGCCCGGACTCACCGCGCTCCAGGAACGTGCCGCTGAGGTCCAGGACCTCGAGCGCGCCGCCCGCTCCCGCGAAGGCCGCGTCGGCGATGCCCGCCCCGGGCTCGCGGCCCAGCGCCGTGCCGGAGAGGTTGAGGAGGCGCAGCGCGGGGAGGCAGGCGAAGGCCCGGGGCTGCAGCGCCCGCAGCGGGTTCCCGGCGAGCGCCAGCGAGCGGAGGCCGGGCAGCGCGGGCGGGGCGCACGGCGGCAGCGCGGCCAGCCGGTTGTAGCTGAGGTCCAGCGTGTGCAGCGCCGCCGGCCCGCCCGGGCCCCAGTGCAGCGCGGCGATGCGGTTGTGGCGCAGCGTCAGCACCTGCAGCCGCGCCAGGGGCCCGAGCTCGGCGGCGCTCAGGGCGCGCAGCAGGTTGTGGCTGACGTCTAGGCTGCGCAGTGCGGGCTGCAGGCAGCTGGGCAGGCGCTCCAGGCTGCGGTTCGCGAGGGTCCAGGTCGAGGCTCCCGCGGCGGGCAGCCCCTCGCACGGCGACACCGTGGCGTTGCTGGTCCCGCTCTCCCGGGGGTCCCGCCGAGTGAGCCGGAAAAGAGGGCCCCTCTCCTGGGGTGGCCCTGCCCAGCTGGGGCGCAGCGCCGTGGGCAGCAGCAGCGGGAGCGGCAGCAGGGCCCACCACATGGTGCGTGGCTGCGGAGACAACAGCACGACAGCCCCTTAAATCCGCAGAAACCCCGCACGAAGGGGCAAATGTGCTCCTCTACTCTGAGGAGAAGCACAGGCCCTGGATGTTTCCGGGGGGGGGGGGGGGGGGGGGGGGGGGGAGCGGGGGGACGTTCCTGTGGCCCCTCCTTTCCTTCTTGCTCCCAAGCGATGCCCTTCCCTCGAATTCACAAGCGGATTAGTATCCACAGGTGACTTCTTGCAGAAGGCTTCCCTCACCTGTCCGCTCCCGCCTGAACTTCCAAGTCACCTCCTCCCTTGTCCCCATTGCACGAGCTTCCGGAGGGAAGAGACTGTGCCCTTTATTGCTGTAAACTTTCCCCAGGTGCACAGATGCGGCTCCAGAAACGTCTATTAATAATGAGCCGGTGAATGACCCCAGTCAGGAGAAGCTCTGCTGGAATAGAAACATGGGACTTCCGGGAGATTTTGTCAAGTCCAACAAAACTGAGTTACCTCCATTTCCCCCCCCCTTACAACTGCCCAGCCGCAGGTGAGTCCGATTTGCGTTTGACCTGGTTGGCAGGTCATATTTTAAAATGAGTTCTGAGGGCAGAACTTCCTCTTGAGAGGGCTCTTTCTTGAGAGGGCCCTCAGGGTTGCCTTTTGGGAAGAAAAGAGCCCCCAGAAAGCTGTGAGGCTTGGGAACCTGGATCCGAGCGTTTCCTGGTCTTCACGCCGGTTCCAGCGAAAGCCAGGGCCCTGAGGTCAGCCTTGCCCTGGAGGGGTGGCTGAAGGCTCCTAGGTGTGGAGTTTCTAGAGTCCCCAGAATTGCGTAGGGCAGCTGGGAGATCAGGTAGGGGTAGATCACAAACGGCTTCATGTGGTCCCATCTCTGCAGGTGTGTATTCCTCTACCCCACTGTCTCTTGCTGACCACCAGGTTTCTGAGCAACCACCCAGGGGAAGGGCTTCTCTCTTTCTAGTTGGCGGTCAAGGCAATGACAAGGATCCTGGAAACCGAGGCCAGGAGCCCACGCGTCTGGCAGTATGTCATACTCACCCTAAGCTGTCCTTTTGGAGTGTGGCACCCCTGGAGGCCCGTTTGCAGTCCTCTATCTTATAGATTCCCGAGGTCCGTGACTTAGACAGCGGCTCAACTGTGAATTCCAGAGGGAGCCTGTTTCCCAGGTACCCCTGCTCCCAGCCCCACCCACGGAGAGCGCCTGAGATACTCCAGTCCCTGCAGTCCTTCCTTCCCCACCAAGACTTTGTGGTCCTTAGCCAGCACTCCCACTGCCTGTTTCCCTCCTCCCCTGCGCTAGGCCTGGGCCTGCCCCTTTCTGGGCCTGGCACCTCCTTCCTGCCCTCCCTCATCTTTACCTCTGCCTTTCCAGGGCCTGACAAAGGGAGGGAGTCAGCTCTCTCTGGTCAAGGAGAGTACTGAGGGCTAATGGGTACAGTGAGGCAGAGGAATCTGATCCTCCTGCTGGTGGTCCCCACTTCCTGGGCTGGTTGAAGGCTGCATGATGAGCTGGTGTGAGGAGCAAGCCCCCTTTCCCAAGGGAGGAAGGCACCCCGGTCCAGAGGAAGGCTTGCAGAGCTTTAGAGGAAAAAGTGATGGGAGAGTGGGTTCTCAGAAGATTCTGGGGGCAGGGGCAGGCTCAAACTGTCAGGAGTTAGTTGGACAGATAGGGAGTCGGGGCTAGGGTTCGCAACAAGAAAATACGGAGTCAGGGCAGCTAAGATAAAACAGCACTAACATCCCGTTTTGCTGCCTTTGCAGAAACGGCTTCCGTCCTAAAATAAGACAGTTAAGCACAAGGCATTTGTCCCTGTCACGGGCAAGAGGCAGTTAAGACCTAAGCCCCCAGATGTCAGCAAAAGAAGACCATCAGCACAGAGACATGAACCTCGTAGGTAGACAGGTACGTGACCAAAGCCCTGACTGGCATGACTCAGCGCACCCTGATTGCTTAAGATAGTTGCTCATGAAAACCGCTCAACTTAGAAACTCCGAGGGCAACCCACTCGGGCCCCCTCCCTCTCTGGGAGCCTTAGACTATCGCTCAATAAGCTCTGCTTTGCTGCCCACCACTCTGCATCTGGTCTACCTCTCCATTCTTCGAAGCCGTGGGACCAAGAACCATGGGCAGAGAAATCCTGCAAAGCAACCAGATACAGGCGTTCCCAGGAATGGTTAGATTGGTTTCTCTGGGACCCAGTTCGGTGACAGCGTGGGTATGTGTCTCTCTGTTTATCTTGTGAAGATAAATAAAGACGGCGGAAATGCAGAAAGAACATTCTGCCCCATGGCTGGGGCGCTTGATGCTGGCTACCAAGAGCCCCAGGACTCCCCGAAGCTGTGGTGATGTTAAATATGCTTTGTTTAGAGCAGACAGCCCCCCTCTCCCAGAGTTCCAAGACTGGTCATTTTGTCTGAGAGCCTTTGATCTGCATCCCCCACCCCCAGTCCCTTCGCGCCACCGCCCCCAGGCCAGGGGTTAATCATCCCCAGCATTGTGTGCACAGACGAGGACCAGAACTTCGTGGATCTTTCCTCCTGTCAGTCCTTATCTGAGCAGCCCTGAGGAACTCCAGGCCACCTCCGAAACTGGCATGTTGTGTTAATTGGATAATTGCAAGTCCCTGGGATCTCCTTTGAGGCCTTCTCTACCCCAAGCCTCAAAATATCAGCGTAAGTGCCAGCCTGGTTCTTGCTGCTCAGAAGCCTTCCTTCATCTGCCCTAGGCGGGGGTGGGGAGAGGTCTGTTCTATACAACCCTGTCTGGGGCAATGCAGTCACCGACCAGAAAGCCCAGGGCCCAGGCCTCAGAGCCCCTCCCTGTCAGCCTTCTCTCAGAGTTAACCTGGCCCGGTCTACCCTACAGGCCAGCAGGGATTTGGGAAGTTCAGGAAGGGCTCTCAGATGAGAGGCGTCAAATCTATTGAAACAGAGACCCTGAAGAGGAAGGGAGTTGGCCCCCCCATGGAAGCCTATAAAAGAGGATCCCAGGAAGCAATGTTGGGTGCTCCTCCGCACACCAGTGGGGCAAGGGGGGCTGAGGAACCCCACTGAGGTCATTTCCCTGCGCTTGCCCAGAGCCCCAGGCCTTTTGAGCCAACGTCTTGTCCCCACTGCTTGTTGGCTGGCTCACCAATGGTGGCAAAGGCCTGGCCTGGACAGGATGACCTGATGGCTGAGCTTGACCATCTGGTTGCTCTTGTCATAGCCAAGCCAAGCAGGCACACCCTGGGTGGGCTGCCCAGTTGGGCTTTTGAGCTGGGGAGGCTGGTGGTAGACGCTTCATGGCAGAGTTTGCTTGCTGGTCTTGCCCAGGTGGCTGGCTGGCTTTGCCCCCAGTGGGTACACTCAGCTTGTCAGCACTACCACTTTTTTAAAATCGGGCATCTACTATAGTCAGAGCCTAACGCCATATGCATTATCTCATTGACTCCCCATCAGGTACTATTATTCCCATGGTACAGATAAGGAAACTGAGGTTTGCAGGGGCTGCCTTGGTTCGGGAGCACACAACTAGCTAGTCTGTCTGGCTTAACCACTGCTTTCTGTTGCCTTCCATAGGCCTCAGCCTTTGACCATGTAATACTCCCTATAAGCACAGCAGAACACTTTCCAAATATTTAGATTGACCCAAATCATGCCAGAAGCCGGGACAGTTGGGAAATTTCTTTTCATAGTTGAGCAGCTCATTTTCAGAAGAAACAGAGCCAACTTCTTGCACCCCTGAGGGCCCAGGACGGAGGCAGACCCCTGGGCAGGGCCACTGGGTTCCTCTCAGGAAGCCGCTGGCCATCTTCTTCAACTCCTTCTCTTCCAGCACCTCTGCGAGGTCAGGAAAAACATGACTGAAGTGTTTGTCCCTTCTGGACAAGGATGCGACGAAGTCCTGGGGCCAGCAAGTTTGCCGTGCCAAGTGCCGCACCATGTCCTTTACCCAGGTGGCTCCCTCTGCCAAGATGCTCTCCGCCCTGACCACCTGACTCTCCGTTTAAACTTACTCTTCCGTACCTTAAGAGTTGCCCTTGAGGGGCGCCTGGGTGGCTCAGTCTGTTAAGTGTCTGCCTTCAGCTCATGTCATGATCTCAGGGTCCTGGGACCGAGCCCCATGTAGGGGCTCCCTGCTCCGTGGGGAGTCTGCTTCTCCCTCTCCCTCTCTGCTCTCTCTCTCTCTCTCAAATAAATAAAATCTTCAAAAAAAAAAAAAAAAAAAGAAAGAAACTAGTTGACCCTGAGGTAAGGACTTGGGTGCAGGGAGTTTATTTGGGAGGTGACCCCGAGGAGCATGGAGAGGGAGTAGGAAGTGAGACAGGGAAGGGAAGGCCCTGTGGCTGTGTTAGTGAGCAGGTCAGTCAATCCCACTGGGCCCCCCTGAGAGACTGTGTAAAGCAGACCTCAGGATGAAGTGGTGAGGAATTGGGGCTATTTACCCACCAGCTTCTGCTGCTTGTTGGCTCAAGGGTTCTTCCTGTGGCTTTAACTCCCTGACACTCCTGGCTTATCCTGAGCATGGATTGAGCAACTCTGATACGAGTGGGCATCTAGGGCGTCAGCAATAGCGGCCTTCAGGATTTTGCCCAGGTAGGCCCTCCCTTGGTGTTCTCTCCCAGGTGAACCAGGCTAACCGCCATCAGGTGGATTGGCAAGTCGTCGTCTTAATATATGCATTAAACTTCCTGAGACCTGAGCCACGTTGTTCTCAGTAGCCCTGGTGCCCAGGGCTGAACCTGGCACTCGGGAGAAACGTTCCACAAATGAGTGGGAAGAGTACTTGGCAAGTCACAGTGTCCTCTGCAGTGCCCAGGAGGGGATGGGGCAGGACTCAAAACAGTAAACATTGAATTCCCAGGCTCCCCCAGCACCCCAGCATCCCAGCATCAAAAGAGCCCAGGTGAGGGTGGACAAGGGGTCTGGGGGATTGGGGTGGGGGTAGAAATGGAAGGAGAGAATTGAGTCACAAAGAAATTTCCAACCCAGATTCCCAACACTCTCATGGA